TTCTTCATCTTTGAAATTTGGAATTTGGGAGCTACTAGATATTGCCGATGAAAAAAGGGGCAAAATGTGTATTTGAGCAATTTGGGACGATATGCGTTAATCTCGTTATAGTCCTGATACGCATGTTTTAAACAGATTATCTTATAGATTTTGAAAATCTCTCTATTTAAATGAATTTTGTTGTAGGATATTTCCTTTTTTTAAACTTGTATATATAGGTCAACATGGCTTTACAATTTTTTCTAAAATCGTACAAAAATCGTATGCACTTATACGTTCCTTTGACTAAAGATACTTTTTCTCTGAACATTACGTGGAATGACGTTGATTTGGTTGAGAACCTGAGTGATCCATCATCGAAACATCTTGAGTGAGCTAGGCCAAGTGAAGGTGGCATCTCCGAATATATGACATACTTTTTTGCTTAAATGTTCGAAGGATGAGCGATGATGTAGCGTCGCTCATAACACCTTTCGTTAGATTGTCGGTTTGCTATGAAAGCATGAATACTAGTGGATAACTTGATTTTCTATTATGTATTGTTTACACCTTCATAGATTGGAAAATTGGAACAAACAGAATCGAATATGAAAATCTTATTCAGGGTTCCTTTACTTCGCAGAGTCTAGAGATTTGTACAACTTCTATCTCCTCCTCCAATCCAGATAAGAAAATTTGCGGCAGTCTCGGTACTGTAGTAGGGAGCAGCCTTCGAAGGACATCTCTCTGATGCGCCTTTGCATCTCATAACATAAAAAATTAAAATCCTTGAAAAAAGATGCTCTTTCACCCCCTGAAACCTTTACTTTTTAGCGCATTGTGGTATGTTGCAGTTACTCCACGCGGAAGAAAGTGTCCATACTAAATTGACTTAGTTAAGAACTCTTTCTTACGACAGTTAATGCAAATTATAGCGCTAAAAATCTGACAATCAGTTAATGCTGTTGTGCATTCACATACGCAAACTCTTTTCTGTATTCCTGTTTAGAGACTTGACGGAATTATTGATCATACTCTGGTATAATCTGAGCAAGCTCGCTTAGTGAGAACCTTCTCAAATTTCTGAAGATGTTTGTGCCGGTTTCAGATGTAGGGTGACATTCCCAATCCCTTTATGGATATTGCACTTAAGTTGACTTTCGGTTAAATTAGTTCAAGGTGCCCTAATTTGTCCACTACTGTAATTTTTCCTGTTTATGCATTTAGACCTTTTTTCCCTACCTGATTCAACATTGGCCTTTTCCGACGTGGAAAGCAGACACGAGCGTACAGTTGCGCTGCCCTCGACTCGTCAGTTATGTGATGCGTTTAATTCAACATGGCTCCTATTCATCTAAGCCATTTGTTCGTTCGTTGTGTGCGGTCTGTCTGCGCATCCTCTCTCAGCGTTCTTCCTCCACTCGCTTTTCTTTTCGCCTCCAATTTAATCGCAATGCCTTCGATGTCATCTGTATAGCACTCTCCACGTACGCCACGCTCCTTCTGGTCCGTCTGCTCAAGCTGATTGGCACTCGTCCTAAACATTCCGCTGCTGTCGGTCCACCCTCTGTCGAACCTCAGATCGGTTCGTCGTCACTCCTCGAGGATCACCTTTTCCTGAATTGAGTCCTCAAGAACGCTATCCTCGACGATGACGTCATCATCAAATTGTTTACAGGATTTTATCGATTCGTCAAATCAACCCCCCTCCCCCCCC